ACTTCAGTATAGTTTTCAGCGTTCTACTTCAAATCATTCAGTTTTTATTCGTCGTTCTTCCACAGGTGTTATTATTCTTATTGTGTATGTTGATGACATTATCATTAATGGTGATGACTCACATGGTATTGTTCATTTTAAGATTCATTTGGGGAAGCAATTTTATACCAAAGACCTAGATCTTCTTCGGTATTTTCTTGGGATTGAAATTGCTCGGTCAAAGGAAGGTATCAGTTTATATGTCAACCGAAGTATATATTAGATTTATTGTCTGAAACTGGTACTCTTAGTGCACGTCCAACTAATACCCCCATGGATTCCACGGTTAAGTTGGATGTTGATAGCGGTGAAGTTTCTAATGATATATAGGTCATTATCGAAGGTTGTTTAGTAAACTGACTTTCCTTACAATTATACGTCCTGACATTACCTACGTTGTTGGAGCGGTTAGTTAGTTCATGCATGCTCCTCGTAAACCTCATTGGGAGGCTATTTGTCGTATTCTTCAATATCTGAAAAAAGCGGCTAGTAAAGGATTATTATATCATCATTCATCCTGCATGATTATTACAGGTTTTTTTTATGCTAACCGGGGAGGTTGTCGTACTGATAGACGATCTGCTTCAGCTTATTGTACATATATTGATGGTAATCTTGTTACTTGGCAAAGCAAAAAAGAGAATGTGGTTGCATGTTTGAGTGCAGAGGCTGAATACCAAGCCATGGCTCATATTGCATGTGAGATGTTGTGGGTTCGTTCATTACTTTGGGATATGGATATCAATGTGCCTCTCCTATGAAGATGCATTGGGACAATCAAGCAGCTATTTTAATTCAATCTAGTATTCCATGAGAAGACCAAGAATCAAAATTTCATTTTGAAACGTCCGAAACGTTTCTATTTTTCTGGAGACCAAAACGAATCAGTGATAGAATCGAAATTCTAATACTTCAAGGTATTTCATAATATTTCGAAGTGTTTTGTAATATTTCAATGCATTTACACAATTATTTTAAAATATTTCAAGGTAATTTGATATAATTTGATCAATATTTTGAAAAAATAATTCTTAAATTTTATTTTTTTTTTCATTCTATTTCCAAAAAAAGTCAATATTTTTGAAACATGTCGAAACGTTTTCATTTTCTAAGTAACTGAAATAATACACCGAAACAAAAATTTGATCCTTGGAGAGGACTAAACAAATTGAAGTAGATTTCCATTTTATTCAAGATCTCCTGATGCATAAGGAGATTATCACACCATACATCAAGTATAGTGACCAGCCGGGTGATATCCTTACAAAACCATTGGCTCGATTTGTCTTCAATAATCTTTGTTCTAAACTTGGCATTTTTTATCTTTATACTCCAGCTTGAGGGGAGTGTTGAGTTCTTATTTATACTATTAGTAGTATAGGGTAATATTGTAATTTTCTTAATGTTAATTTATTACAAATGAGAGAGTGTACAGCAACGTAGACTACACATTGATTATTCTCTCCTCTTTCTTTATCTCTTATCTCTTAACCTTAATATCACTTTTCTATTCCAACTTATAGATTTACGACATATGACATTACCTGCCTAGTTAGCATTGAAAAGGTACAAAACTCTAAAGAAAAAGTGGAAGGGAACAACAAGCTTTGATATAAAGTGTCCCAGAGATAATGCAAAATCAAAAACCTTCTGCCCAATAAACAGCAGCCCCAGAGAAAAGAAATCTATATGCAACTCTCTAATATTTCATAACAGTAAAAACTAGGTACAAGAGACACGATATAAAACCCTACTACAAGCGAAGGACTAGAATCCCCCTAATGATAAATACACATAAATAGAACATAATCTTAACCGTATCCAACAGTGTTCCATACAAATCTTAAGCTCGAGCATGCATATGCACCTATGAACGAGAGAGAGAGGGGATCCGAAAGCTAGAACATTTAGTGGGTCTGGATTTTGCTCGACCTAAAATTTCGCTCGCTCACACCATTTCGGTGCTTGCACTTCATTTACTTATACTGTAGTACTCATCTTGTAACTCCATATTCATCAAAATAGTCAGTTGTCAATTTTTACATCATGCCATATATTCTCATACACAATAGAAATGGAGCGATTTTGTCATGTTTGCAAGCATAAAATGAGGTTGATAAATCCACTAAATAGTGACTTGGTGGGAATTTCGAGTTTTTGGCTTACAAAATGCAAAGGTCACAAAAAAGTTTTAAATGGCAACAATCCATAACATTCTAAATTCAAAGAAAAACCAATAGAAGCCTATGATAGAAGGTTTATACTTCCTATTATATTACCTAAGCAAGCATCGTTACATGTAAACATACACATAACTTCTAAAAAGGGCAAGCAAATTTTTATGCTATGTGTTATTTCTAGTTAAGGGTATTTTAGTACTTTGCTTCTATATATATAACCTAGGTGCAGTTTTGTAACTTAATACACTACTATGAGAATCTACTCTTTTCTCCTATTTTTCTTCTCCAAACCCTAATGACTTCAAAACTTAACTTGATATCAGAGCCACGATCCAAATCGAATGTCTTAAAGTATATTGAGGTGGAAGATTATGTAAATCTTCCCTCATGATGAAACACGTGGATTGCAAGACACTACCTAGAGAGGGAGTGAATTGGTTAATTAAAATTATACGTAGACAAACACCAATGTTAACCTAATTCAACCTCAATTATCTCTTCTCACAAAGATATGTCAATTAATAATAAGAACCCCTTTACAACTACAATGACCCATTGAACCCATGAAGATTAGTGTCATGAATATCAATTAACCACTCACACTTAATCTTAAAAGGACCCCAACTCAATGACAACCAACCCAAGCAAGCAACTATGGATGATGTGAGTAATCAATCAATCATATTATCAAACACATAGTGCTCGTGTGTGCATCAAATTGTATGTGTATATGTAAAAATAATAAAAAATACAAGCAATTGTTAACGAGGAAACCATCCACGAGAAAAATTGGAAAAACCTTTCTAGGGTTTACCAAAGCCTAATTCACTATCTCTTATGATTCTTTGTCTTCATGCTTGTCTTGTGTGTCTATTCTTCAAGATTAGAACGAGACTCTCACTGATCCTATTTGGAGAGAAGCTATGATAAAAAAAAATGAAAGCCTCGAAAAAAATGACACATTTCATTGTCAAACAACATGCTAATTGAACTGTTGAGAGGTACAAAGCTAGTTTGGTTGCAAAGGAATTTACTCAGACATATGGTATTGATCATCAAGAGACTTTTGCTTATGTGCCAAAGATGAACTCTATATGTGATCTTATCGATTGTGCAACTAATTTGAGGTGGAATTTACAATAATTGGACATGCAAAATGCATTTCTTCACAAAGATTTGGAGGAAGAGGTGTACATGGAGATTTCTCCAAGTTTTTCATCTTAGGTAACTTAAAGGAAGGTGTATAAGTTAAAGAAATCTCTTTGTGGTCGAGGCTATCTCTCATAGCTTAGTTTCATAGGTATCAAATTCCTTAAAGCTATGCTGAACTTTGGATATAAAAATAAGTCATATTCATCATACAATGTTCATCAGAAATGTTGATAACAAGATTGCAGTCATCATTGTATACGAGAATAACATATTGATAACAGGGAATGATGAGTATGAAGTCACCAAATTAAAAGCTTAGTTGGCTAAAGAGTTTGAAATCAATGTCTTGAGTCCACTACTTCCTTAAGATTAAGATTGTCAGATCACGTAAAGGCATTTTTATCTCCAATCTTGACCTTCTTGAAGAGATAAGGATGTTGGGATTTAGACTTACAGATTATCCTATTAAAGTAGTGGTTTTTGTGAGGTAGTGGAAAATGAGAGATACCAGAAGGTGGTATGGATATTAATATATCTCTCACATACTCGACTAAATATCGCTTATGCAGTAGGTGTTGTCGGGTCATTCACGCATGATCCTCAAACTCCTCATCTTGAAGTTGTTTATCACATTTTTTGGTATCTCAAGCTAGCTCTAGGAAAAATAATCTTACTCTCCAAGGTCACTTGAAACTAGAAGCATTTAGTGATGCAAATTGGGTAAGTTCAATGGACGATAGACGATCTACTTTATGCTATTGTGCCTTGATTGAAGAAAATCTTGTCACATAACGAAGTAAGAAGCAAGCACATAGGCTGAATACGGAGCAATGACCCGTGGAGTCTATGAGCTTATGTAGCTCCAAACATTACTAGTAGAACAGGGAATTTATAATGACGGACCCATGAGACTATACTGTGACAGCAAGGCTGTTATCAACATTACTCGTAATCCAATTCAACGTGACATAACTAAACATGTTAAAATTGACTGGCACTTCATTAAAGAAAAGTTAAACAAGGGATTGATTTGCATGATTTTTGCGAAATCAGAAAATCAGTTAGTCAATTTTTTCACAAAAAGGCATAGTAGAAAGGTTTTTCACCCCATTGTATAGAAGTTGAACATGAGAGATATCTATACACTAATTTGAGGGGAAGTGTTATGTTATGTGTTATTGCTAGCTTAAGGGTATTTTAGTATTTTGTGTTTATATATATAAACTAGGTGTAGTAATGTAACCTAACACACTACTGTACCCAAACAATATTCTCTTTTCTCCTATTCTTCACTTTTTCTCCAAACCCTAAAAATTTCACAACTTAAATCAAAAATCGAAAGGAGCTCCAACAAATCAAGTTTCAAGAAATATCCTCTGTCCATAGACTCTCGGCATTCATTTTTATTTTCAGTGTTTGAATGTGAAATTCTTTTCAAGGAAATATTTATCTTCGTGAAAACTCAGAAATCCAAAACGGTATACAAATGTCCAGCCCTAGCATAAACAATAGTTTCTAGCTCACAGATCATATCTCAACCAATTATATGCAATGAGAAAAGATGATTTGAGCGAAAAGGTAGCCACAAAATCAGATAATAAGGTTCCACACAGAGTTCGAGATGAAACTCTAAAGAATAATCTTTGTTGGAAACAGCTTGTCACTAATATCTCCCTCTCCGTATGAACTCTGAAGATCATTTGCAACGAGTTAATTGCCCAATGAAAAAGATGTCATACCACATACCGAAGGATACTTTGTTGATTGTTTGAAACCTATCGATTTATGAACACTTCCATACCACCATGGGCCCCAAATGCCATCATATGATTTTGGACCAGCCTCCCATCTGGAAATATACAGTTAGAAATTTGTCATGCACTTGATCTAGAAAGCAGATTGCACAAAATAAACAATTTTTTTTTTTTTTTGGAAGGGGAAGGGGAAGGGAAGGGGGAGGGGGACTTGAACCCTTGACCAAAGCCTTCACAAGACAAGGAGTATCATTAGACCAAAGGCCCATTGGTGCACAAAATAAACAATGAATGTACTGTTTTGTTTCACTGGGATTTTGGGGGTACTGATCTGCAGAAAATTTGCATCAATTTCAATCATTATTTAATGTAAACAATTAATTTAATATGCTCCCTTATTAGTGCTTAAACAATCAGTACTGCTTCACCCTCATAGTATTTATAAAAGCACAACCTAGTATATGTAGGACGCAGACAGAAAAGCTCCAATCAACCAATTCCAACATAAACAATTTCAGGATTAGTGAAGCGACAAAACATTTTGGATAGGATGAATGAAAATTTTAGCATCTAATAATAATAGCTTTGGCTTACTTGAGCATTGCATCTTGAAAAGGAATACCAAGGTCTTCACAAAGACCACGTAAAGCAGCCTGCATATGATCCAGAGGAATAGGAGTCATCTTTAAAAGATAAAATAATGATTGAGATATACAATTTGGGAAATACTAAAGTGGTAAGTGTCACGCCCTGGATCTTCAACTTATTTCCGAGGGTTTATTAAAATCAATTTTGATTACCTCAACATAAATTTAAATAATTACAATCTTTCTCCGAAAATAAATAGCAAATGATACAAGCCAAAAAATTAGTAACCTTGACTTAATAATACAATAACAAGATTCCAAAAATTGAGCAATTAACTGATTCCATAAACCAATCCTTCTATGAACTGATCCGATTCCGATTAGCCCAAATTGGCAACATATTTCCGGGGAGGTTTTAATAATTGTAAACAATATATAAACAATGTAGAGTGAGCAAACAATATGCTCAGTAGCAAAATCCTATTCTCAAATGCATCGTTTAAAAATCTAATAGTTTTGTAGGTATCATAAAAATATATAGTTGATGTATATATCTAAAACATTCTAATGTAGATTGCAGAGGAAGAATTAGGAGATGAGAAGAAAAGGATGAGAAATTGAAGAAAGAGATGAGAAATTAAACGGAAGGGATGAGAAGTCGGTGGAAAATAAGGAGGAGAAATGCAATTCTCAATATTATGTATTAGGGCCATAAAAGAAAGGGTAGTTTTGGGATTATGTTTTTATATTAGCATGACATCATGAAATTTTACCGGCAATATTAACAGTCATTGACGACAAGGATTTATGTGTTATGCGTACAAATCTTAGGGGGTTTGAGTGTAATATTTCAAATGTGAGGGGGTCTATGTGATTATGTGAAAAATGTCACAGGGTTTGGATGTAATTTACCCAAAAAGTAATATTGAAAGTTTTAGCACTTAGGGACTTCTCCAAGAAGGAAAATGTCATGATAATGGAAATAGAGTTGAAGATCATTGTTCACTACTGCCCCTTTTGTGGAGAACCCGCCAGTAGGTTTTTAGAGAAACATCCATACATGGCCATCAGTCATACTTTATGCAGAGAGAAAAGAAACAAAAAGCACTTCAAACTAAACCAGGCTTGTTCCGAGAGCTATCCAAAACCTCAGGATTTTCTTGAAGCTCTGCTGCATCAATAATGGGTGGAGGCTTTCCTAATTCACAGAGCTCACTGTATATGGAGACCAAACCTGCCAATCCTAACTCCAAAAAGGATGGTGGCAAAACCTTGTCGTAAGATGGCTGAGAACACATAAAAGAAACATAAATCAGTGAACTTGGGCATAAGTAAAATCCACATGTTCACTAAAAGGAAGAACAAAGTTCCTGCATACCATTGTAATGCTTTTTTGATAAACTGATAATCTGCAAGCGAAAAAACTGACCAAAAGATAAACATCACCAGATACGTACCAAAATATCAAGGGGATTCTGTATTAATATGAAATGCTTCCCTTTCTTCATTAACTCATCTCTCAGACCAGGCACGAATTGTTTTGCCATATGCTGTAGCAGAAAAGGTGGGAATATCACTGTAAATGATTGTCATTTCAGAACAAAATTTGTCAAAATGTTGAATACATTAAAATTACGGAACCAGTTTCTGTATTACGGCAGTGAAAGAAAAAACATAAATAAATTCAACCACCGGAAAGGAATGATGGGGAGAGAGAGCCTGAAACTATCAATAACCCATCGAAACCTATCAAGGCTATCAGAAGTTGGAACTCAAGCATTGACTCAAGGCTTTGCAGAACCTGATTATTGAGAAGTTCTACAATTTGTTGAGGGATGATGAATAATTTGAGTCATTTGATGGTCTAAATGATTTTTAAAGTGTGTTTAGAAGCTACAACCATACAGTATAAAGAACGAAATACTTCAGTTTGCTTATCAACTACAAATACGTAACAGATAACTGGTTATTTGTTTAATCTACCAGCTGCCACAAGCGATATTTTAAACAATTAAAATCTGCTTATATTATAGAGGAACTTGTAACTCATAGCAACCCTATACTCGGAGCCTCCAATGAATTCCCCGCAGATTTAGCAGGAATACAAATAAATGGACAATTGAGCATCATTAAGCCACAAAGGTGACTTCCTCTTGCTCTCTATTTCAAAGAGAGGATAATGACCAATTGTTAAGACTTGATATGAGGAGAGTTATCCAGGTGGTTCATTCCCAGCAAGCAGTTTGGTCTCCCCAATCTTGAGGTTCTGATTTTCTTTGGTGACCAAATGCTGGGCAAGATACTTCCTGTGGATCAGCTAACAATAAGGGCCTGGTTGTAATTGTTAGTGAGTGAGGGGTAATAGAGTCAATGTCTTATTCTAGATGTATAACTATATATATCTCTTCTTGTCAATGAAATCAGTAGGTTCTATTTTTCCTATTCAACTATGTCTCTCTCTGTGACTATATTCTTTACATGGTATTAGAGCAGGTCACTGTTCACCGCCGCCGTGTGTCGTTGTTTGTCGTCGAGGTGGAGTAATTGTTCGCCGACCACCGTTTAAGTCATTCGTTGTCGAGGTGGAATTGTTGTTTGCTAACCACTGGAGTTGTTGAGGTCAAGGATCAAAATTTCGTTTCGGTGCATTGTTTTAGTCACCTAAGAAATAAAAACATTTCGACGAATTTCATAAATGTTTCGATCTGTTTCAAAAACCGAATGAAAAAAATAAAAAAATTAAGAATTATTTTTTCAAAATATACCAAAATATCTTGAAATACCTTAAAACATTCTGAAATAATTGTGCAAATATATTGAAATAAAACAAAACATTTTGAAATATTATGGAACACCTCGAATTATTAAAATTTCGATTTCATCACTGATTCGTTTCGGTCTCCTTGAAAACAGAAACGTTTCAAATGTTTCAACCGTTTCAAAATGATATTTTGATCCTTGGTTGAGGTTGTTGCTTTATAGTCGTCAATGTGTCACAGGAATGGTTGATGTTGATGATCGAATAAATCGATCGTCAATTGTCCAAGAGTTGTTGAGGTTGTTGATCTATTGTCGATTTTCGATATTGGTGATCGAATGTATCATAGAAGAAATGAAGAAATTAATTGTTGATGAAGAAATTAGTTGTTGACAGTCTTGAATGAACTCAGAATTGTTATTGGTTGATTTGTATTTAGTTGATAATGCTGGTTAGATGTGGGCGTTAGGATTTGAAGCATAGTAGAAGACCAAAGGTTAAAGAAAGGATTCCAGGTCAATCGGATCTTTTTTTTATTTTTTTTTGGAGTTTGAGTTTGGGTTTGGACAATTCAGAAGCCCAACATCTTCAACAGCCCAATCAAATTCCAACCTACCTACTATTTAGGTCAAAGTCCAGCCCAGACAGTTCAACATCATTAGACCTGGATTAGATCGGTTTAGATCTTGATTAGACTGATTCACACTTAAATCGATCTAGTTCAATCCTACGATCCACGCCTTCTAGACTCAAATTTAATGGTTCAGTTCCATCTGAAGGCGGCTTAGTCCTTCCAGACCAATTTCGCCCAGATTGCACATTCCACCTGGACAGCCCAGACCAGTTTCTCCTGGATTAGTAGTCCTTCCAAACTAGTTTCACCTAGATTTTTGTCCAGATAAGTCGCCTTCATCATTTATTTTTATTATTTTCAGCTTGGCTTGGTTCGGCTCTATTGGTTCCGCTTTTTTTGTTGTATTTTCGATTATCGATTATAGTTATAGACAGTAACTATTGGGTCTATGGATCTACTTGGTATTATGGCCGATGATAAGTCTACTTCTGGGGCTATTCGGTATGTGGTTAGTCTAGATTTTAATAGTTTATCTATTACCTCTATTAGGCTGAATGACAATAACTACATGCCTTGGTCTCATTCTATTGAAGTATTTTTTATTGCGAAAAATAAAGTTGAATATCTTGTCAATGATAGGCCAAGTGAAATTGATTCAAAGCTTAAAAAGTGGAAAGTAGAGAATGGCAAGGTGATGACTTTGTTATGGAATAGTATGGAGCCTCGGATTAGTATTCATCTCGTGTCTCTTATCACTACTACGGAGATATGGATTGCGGTTAGTCGTTTGTTTTCTGGAGAAGATAATATTACTTGAGATTTGTTTAGGCTAGAGCAAGGTGATAAAAACATTGAAGAATACTACTCCTCCCTACAAAATATTATGAATAATCTCAATGCTTATCAACCACTCCCCATTGATTTGCAAGTCCAGAAAAAGCAACATGAGGAATTAATGGTTGCTCACTTCCTCTCAATTTTAAAATTAGAATTGGAACCCATCCGTGCTCAGATTTTGGCTAGTAAGGAAATTCCTTCAATGTCAGAATTGTTGTCTCGTATTTAACGAACTTCCTTCAGTGATAGTAGTGTTTCTATACCTAACTGATCGGCTTTAGCCGTACTTCCTAGTCAAGAGAATAACAATTTCCCTCGCGGGGGTAGAGGACATCGCAGTGGACGACGAAGAGGTGGTCGTCGGCCAATGGATAACCGAGGTGGTAGAGGTCGTGGATCTATGAAGTTTTGCACTTATTGTGGAATTAAAGGTCATACAATGGACTATTGTTGGGATCTTCATGGAAAACCCTCCTCTTATGCTCATTTGTGCCTTTATCAAATGATTTGAGTTTAGGACAATCTACTATCGATGGGAGTACATCCACATCGGAGATTGTGTCTCTCTAAGGAGTATGATCGTCTTATTTCTAAGTCTGGTGCTACTACTTCTACTTCTACTTCTATAGCTACCTTGGCACAGTCAGGTAAAGCATGTTTGATGTCCTATTTGTCTACCTTATCTACATGGTTCATTGTCTCTAGGACCTCCGATCATATGACAAGTAATGTGAGCACATTCTCCGGTTTTCATCATGTCTCTACTAACCAATATGTTACATTAGCTAATGGATCTTCATCCTCAATATCTGGTATTGGCACTGTGAACCCTACTTCCTCATTGTCTTTATCCCCAGTTTTGCATGTTCCTAACTTTCCATTCAATTTATTGTCTGTGAGTAAACTCACTAAATCTTTAAACTATTTCGTAACATTATATTTTTCTTTCTGTGTGTTTCAAGACCTTCAGATGAAGAAGATGATTGATGGAGATCATGAAGCCAATGGTCTTTAGTATCTTGATGCAGTTCCGGCTGGCAGCTCTAGTTACACACTTCATGTTCTCCATATCATTGGCATTGTCAACTTGGACATCCATCTTTGCGAAGTCTTCGGCCGTTGGTTCCTTCGTTGCATCAATTGTCGTCTTTAGGTCATGAGTCATGTTAGGTAAAAATATTTGGAGTTCATTTACTCCCAGAATTTGTAATCATGTCTCTAGTTTATTTGAAGTTGTTCATTTTGATATTTGGAGTCCTATTCGTGTTTCTTCTTATTTAGGATTTAAGTATTTGGTTATCTTTGTAGATGATTTTTCCAGACCTGGCTATTTTTAATGAAAGATTGTTCTGAATTGTTTTCTATTTTCAGAGCTTTTGTTATGGAAATTAAGACTCAATTTGGTGTGACTGTACGTACATTGCAATCTAATAATGCAAAAGAATATCTTCCTCACCCATTCCGTGATTTTTTTCACTGCCCATGGTTTGATCCAGCGCACTTCGTGTAGTGGCACCCCACAACAGAATAAAGTGGCAGAACACAAGAATTGCCACCTCATTGAAGTTGCTCGTTCCCTTTTGATTCATATGAAGTTTCTAAAGTTTTTTGGAGTGAAGTTGTCCTAACTGCATGTCACCTAATTAATCGTATGCCTTCGTCTGTTCTTAATGGTCAAATTCCACACCAAATTGTATTTCCTGATCGTCCTTTATTCTCTATTCCACCCAGTATCTTTGGTTGTGTAGCCTTTGTTCATCAATTAGGTCTAGGCATAGACAAACGTAACCCTAAATCCATCAAGTGTATTTTCTTGGATTATTCAAGCACACAAAAAGGGTATAAATGCTATAATCCGAACCTTCGTCATCAATTTATCTATGCTGATGTTACATTTTTCGAGTCTGTTCCTTTCTTTTCTAAGGCTACCACTTATGTTGCACTTCATCAGTTTTCCTTCATTTGCCTCTTCCTATTTTGTCTTCGCCCATGTTCTCTCATGCTGCAACACCTGTCAAATCTTTTATTACGTAGGTGTACTAACCAAACCAAGTCAAGCCTTATGTCCCAATTATTTGGGATTGGCTATATGAGTTTGCCTTTATGTAGGTGTACTACTCTCGACACCAAAAACACTGTTGTCCAAATGACTTCGCCACCCTCTATATCGTCCAAAGGCTCTGATCTCCCACCATCTTGGGATGATGATCTTCCTGTAGCACGTTGAAAAGATAAACGCTCATGTACCCTCATTACGAGTTCTACTGCTCATCCTATTGAACACTTGCTATCTTATGATAGCTTGTCTCCTACTTTTTGTTGCTTTACATCCTCTAAATTGTCTCCTTCTGTTCCTCACACTGTTCATGAAGCTCTTG